TCCAAAGATGCTCGGTCCTTTCGAAAACCTCTGAAAGGTCGTAAATCTTACCGAAAGAGACCCAACTCGAAATGGGCTTTAATGGGGGGCTGGCCTTGCATTGGGGACGGGGCGTTGGTTGAAGGCGTAGTAAACCTGTCTTTGCAAGATGAGGCCAGGAGAGCTTTGCCTCTTTGAAGCCTGCTGGGTTGCCCAGACAATTGGCAGGTAAGACGAAAACGGGATTTTGAGGGCGGAAAGAAGCCAAGGCGATGCCTGGTGTCTCCAGCTCTGTTCCAACCACCTCTGGACACATGAACCAAAGCTGGAGAAGAGATTTATTATAGGTTCCATGGAGGTAGAAATGTGGGTTTGGCACCAGAAAAGGACCCGGTTTTCCATAAATAATCAAAACAAAAACCTGACTTGTTCCAATTTGCTAACAGCAGAACTTTCCATGTTTTTGAAACATGCCTCCTCCCACGACACGGTCATTCGGTTTTACTACCAAACCAACCTCTTACAACAGGCATGGGCAAACTTCGCCGCAGTGGGTTAAACTGCTGAGCTGCTGAACCTGCTGTCCGAAAGGTCACTGGTTCAAATCCAGGGAGTGGGGTGAGCTCCCACTGTTAGCCCCAGCTTCTGCCAACCTAGCAGTTTGAAAACATGCAAATGTGAGTAGATAGTAGTTGCTTTATCGTCTTTGTATGTATTTTACTGTGTTGTTATTGTGTTTTGGTTTTACCTTATTGTAATATGCTGTTGGGTTTGGCCTCATGTAAGCTGCCCTGAGTCCCCATTGGGGAGATGGTGGCGGGGTATTAAATAAAGATTATTATTATTATTATTATTATTATTATTATTATGTATCATATTTATACTATAATATTAGGCTCATGTAATATATATATATATATATATATATATATATATATATACTACATAAGCCTAATATTATAGTATAAATATGATACATTAGAGTAATAACAGAATTATAATAAAATATAATGCATTATTATTATAATTAATATTATAATATAATATAGATATAATACATTTTATATCTTCTATATAAATAAAGGAGCGCCCGGTGGTGCAGCGGGTTAAAGCGCTGAGCTGCTGAGCTTCTTGACCGAAAGGTCACAGGTTCAAATCCGTGGAGCAGCGTGAGCTTCCGCTGTCAGCCCCAGCTTCTGCCAACCTAGCAGTTCGAAAACATTCAAATGTGAGTAGATCAATAGGTGCCGCTCCGGCGGGAAGGTGACAGCACTCCATGCATGACCTTGGAGGTGTCTATGGACAACGCCGGCCCTTTGGCTTAGAAATGGAGATGAGCACCAACCCCGAGTTGGACACGACTGGACTTAATGTTACCTTATATATTTATGTGTATATATATATGTGTATGTATATATGTATGTGTGTATATATGTGTATGTATATATGTGTGTGTGTGTATATATGTATGTATTGACCTTGAAGGGGCTGGGGGTGGTGACGGCCGACAGGGAACTCTGGCGTGGGCTGGTCCATGAGGTCACAAAGAGTCGGAAATGACTAAACGAATGAACAACAACAAATATATGTATGTGTATGTATATATGTGTGTATATATAATATGCAATTATATATTAATTTGATTGTTGCAGTTTTTTTCGGGCTATATGGCCATGTTCTCGAGGCATTCTGTCCTGACGTTTTGCCTGCATCTATGGCAAGCATCCTCAGAAGTATCCTCAGACCTCACTACCTCTGGATGCTTGCCATAGATGCAGGTGAAACGTCAGGAGAGAATGCCTCGAGAACATAGCCATATAGCCCGAAAAAACCTACAACAACCCAGTGATTCTGGCCATGAAAGCCTTCGACAATACTATATATTAATTATCTATATCTCTATCTATCCATCTCTCTATCTCTCTATCTGTATGTATCTTAATGGTTAACTCAGTTTTACCCCCCATCTCAAGCTGACAAGAGACAAGTAACAAATAATATGTATAATAATAATAATAATAATAATACTAATAATAATAATACCTTTATTTTTATACCCCGCCAACCATCTCCCCAAGGGGACTCGGGGTGGCTTACAAGGAACAAGCCCAAAATTACAACTAAAACACAACAGATTAAAGACATCAGATAAAATGAAAACACAATTATGTTAGTTAGGCGATCCCTCGTAGTCCGAGGATGATGGTCCTCCAAGTTCGGTGTTCTGGCGGTGGATCCATAGGTGACTGTGGAGTCCTATTCTTGATCTGCATCTTCTTCCGCAGTGAGGGCATTGGTTTCCAGGTGGAAGGCGGTCCCGGTCAGGGTTGGCTTGACACGCCTTCCTCTTTGGCTTGACACGCCTTCCTCTTGGCACATTTCTCTCTTTCGCCCTCCATTCGTGCCTCTTCAAATTCTACAGCACTGCTGGTCACAGCTGACCTCCAGCTGGAGTACTCAAGGGCCAGGGCTTCCCAGTTCTCAGTGTCTATGCCACAGTTTTTAAGGTTTGTTTTGAGCCCATCTTTAAATCTCTTTTCCTGCCCACCAACATTTCGTTTTCCGTTCTGGAGTTCGGAGTAGAGCAACTGCTTTGGGAGACGGTGGTCGGGCATCCGGACAACGTGGCCGGTCCAGCAGAGTTGATGGCGGAGGACCATCGCTTCAGTGCTGGTGGTCTTTGCTTCTTCCAGCACACTGACGTTTGTCCGCTTGTCTTCCCAAGAGATTTGCAGGATTTTCCAGAGGCAACGCTGATGGAATCGTTCCAGGAGTTGCATGTGACGCCTGTAGACAGCCCATGTCTCGCAGGCGTATAGCAGGGTTGGGAGGACAATAGCTTTATAAACAAGCCCCCTGGTCTCCCTACGGATGTCCTGGTCCTCAAACACACTCTGCTTCATTCGGGAAAATGCTGCACTCGCAGAGCTCAGGCGGTGTTGTATTTCAGTGTCAATGTTGACTTTGGTGGAGAGGTGGCTGCCAAGGGAGCGGAAATGGTCAACATTTTCACAATTTATAAACAAACATCAAAAACAATATGGCTGACAAAAAAAGAACATATCTGGAGTAAAAACTCACTGAATGCAATACATAATAACAATAAAATAATAATAATATATTATTACTATATTGTAATTATATTATATTATATATTACTATATTGTCCTATACCACTATATTGTAATATTATTAGTGACATTACATGTAATATAAAATATATAATTATAATATATTATTATTAGTACTAGTAGTAGTATTGTATTGTATTGTATTGCATTATAATATTATAAATATTATATGTATATACAATATATTATATTGCATTATATTATATTATTATCATAGCATATTATTGACTGTATTGTCGAAGGCTTTCATGGCCGGAATCACTGGGTTGTAGGTTTTTCCGGGCTATATGGCCATGTTCTAGAGGCATTTTCTCCTGACGTTTCGCCTGCATCTATGGCAAGCATCCTTAGGGGTAGTGAGGTCTGTTGGAACTAGGGAAAAGGGTTTATATATCTGTGGAATGACCAGGGTGGGACAAAGAACTCTTGTCTGCTGGAGCTAGGTGTGAATGTTTCAACTGACCACCTTGATTAGCATTGGATTGCCAGGCAGTTCCTGGAGCAATCTTTTGTTGAGAGGTGATTAGATGTCCTTGTTTGTTTGTGCTGGTAGTGAGGTCTGTTGGAACTAGGAAAAAAGGGTTTATATATCTGTGGAATGACCAGGGTGGGACAAAGGACTCTTGTCTATTGGAGGTGGGTGTGAATGTTTCAACTGACCACCTTGATTAGCAGGAGCCCCCGGTGGCGCAGTGGGTTAAACCCATGTGCCGGCAGGACTTGAAGACCGACAGGTCGCAGGTTTGAATCTGCGGAGAGGCGGATGAGCTCCCTCCATCAGCTCCAGCTCCTCATGCAGGGACATGAGAGAAGCCTCCCACAAGTATGATAAAAACATCAAATCATTCGGGCGTCCCTTGGGCAATGTCCTTGCAGACGGCCAATTCTCTCACACCAGAAGCGACTTGCAGTTTCTCAGGTCACTCCTGACACGACAAAAAAAACAACAACCTTGATTAGCATTGGATTGCCTGGCAGTGCCTGGAGCAATCTTTTGTTGAGAGGTGATTAGATGTCCTTGTTTGTTTGGGCTGTTCTAATTTTAGATTTTTTTAATACTGGTAGCCAGATTTTATATAGAGTCTTCACTTGATGTATTGTTGGAGGCTTTCGTGGCTGGACTCACTGGGTTGTAGGTTTTTCTGGGCTATATGGCCATGTTCTAGAGGCATTTTCTCCTGACGTTTCGCCTGCATCTATGGCAAGCATCCTCAGAGGTAGTGAGGTCTGTTGGAACTAGGAAAAAGGGTGTATATATCTGTGGAATGACCAGAGTGGGACAAAGGACTCTTGCCTGCTGGAGCGAGGTGTGAATGTTTCAACTGACCACCTTGATTAGCATTTGATGGCCTGGCGGTGCCTGGAGCAATCTTTTGTTGAGAGGTGATTAGAGGTCTTTGTTTGTTTCCTCTCTGTTGTTGTGCTGTTCTAATTTTAAAGTTTTTAATACTGGTAGCCAGAAAGCCTTCCACAATACAATATCTATAGGTCTATAATAATAATAATATGTCTTTCAATAATATCTATATATCATAATAATACCTATGTGCCTATAATAATGTCCTTGTTTGTTTCCCCTCTGTTGCTGTGCTATACTAATTTTAGAGTTTTTTAATACTGGCAGCCAGATTTTATATAGACTCTTCACTTGATGATTTGAAAGGAAAAGCAGCCAACTTTTGGGAACTTTTGCCTTCCCACCTCGCTCTCTGATTGGCTAACGCCTCCCAGCCAATGAAAAGCAAGCATGGGCGGGGCGATGCAAAAGAGGAGGTGGCGAGAAGGTTGCACTCCTTTCTTTCCTACTTGCCTTTGATTGGCCGGCGCTGCCAACCAATTAAAATCAAGGCATCGTTCGGGACCTCCCCTTTTGGGGGAAACCTCGCGAGGAGAGTGGAAGGCCTCGCGAGAGTTCCCCCTCAGCGTCTTCCCTGAGGTGAAAGTCCACTCGGGACGGAGGAGGCGACGGCGGAGCCATGTGGGCGGCGCTCCTCTCGCGGCGGAAGGCGGTGAGTGAGCAGCCCGGAGAGGCCGGAGGAGCCTCCCCGCTTGGGGTCACGGCTCAGGCCGAGAGGGAGGCCGCCTCGCCAGCCAGGAGGCCCAAAAACAACAGCCCCGCGGAGTAGGCCGCACACAGAACCAGGCCTCAACTTTAGAACAGGCCGCGAGGGGGAAGAAGGCCAAAAGGGCCGCTGACACATAGACAGGCCTACCGTCAACATTATAACAATTATCATATAAACATAATGCAGGAGAATAATATTTATTTATTTATTTACTTTGCTTCTATACCGCTGTCTCACAGCGGTGTACAACATAGGAAAACAATTCAAGACACAGTATAAAAAACAATTCACAGTCCAGCATTATACAAAACATTGTCATTACTACAAAAACCATTCAGCATCATCTCATCGTCCAAACCACAATCCAGTATCCTTTTCCGTTGTTCCATTCCTATAGTCATTGCCAATCATTGCACTTCTTGTTCGAACGCCTTCTTGAATAGCCAAGTCTTCAATTTCCTGCGGAATATCATCAAGGAAGGAGCCAGTCTGATGTCCACGGGAAGGGTGTTCCACAGCCGAGGAGCCACCACCGAGAAGGCCCTATCTCTCGTCCCCGCCAGCCGTGCTTGTGAAGCGGGCGGGATCGAGAGCAGGGCCTCCCCGGAAGATCTCAAAGTCCTGGTGGGCTCGTAGGCCGAGATGCAGTCGGATAGGTATCTTGGGCCGGAACCGTTTAAGGCTTTATAGGCCAATGCCAGCACCTTGAATTGAGCCTGGTAGCAAATCGGCAGCCAGTGGAGCTGGTACAACAAGGGCATTGTGCGCTCCCTGCGTCCCGCTCCTGTAAGTAACATGGCTGCCGCACGTTGGACCAATTTAAGCTTCCGGGCTGTCTTCAAAGGCAACCCCACGTAGAGAGCGTTGCAGTCTAAACGGGATGTAACCAGAGCGTGGACTACCGTGGCCAAGTCAGACTTCCCAAGGTACGGGCGCACCTGACGCTCAAGCCTTAGCTGTGCGAATGCTCCCCTGGTCACCGCCGAGACCTGGGGCTCCAGGCTCAGCAACGAATCCAGGATCACACCCAAGCTGCAAACCTGCGCCTTCAAGGGGAGTGCAACCCCATCCAGCACAGGCATATAATGTTTTTTTATTTATATATATATATATATATATATATATATACACACACACACACACACACACACACACACACACTACATGAGCCTAATATTATAGTATAAATATGATACATTAGAGTAATAACAGAATAATATAAATATAATACATTATTATCTTCTATATATATAAAAATGCTCTGTGCATAATGAGCACCTTAAAAACAAAAGAACTATTGAACGAAATCACATCACATTTGGCAACAAAACGTCTCACTACTCAAGGAGTGACCATCACTCAAAACATTATGGTTTTGTCATTTGGGAGTTGTAGTTGCTGGGATTTATAGTTCACCTACAATCAAAGGAGCCCCCGGTGGCGCAGTGGGTTAAAGCACTGAGCTGCTGAGCTTGTTGATCGAGAGGTCGCAGGTTCGATTCCGGGGAGCGGTGTGAGCTTCTGCTGTCAGCCCCAGCTTCTGCCAACCTAGCAGTTCAAAAACATGCAAATGTGAGTAGATCAATAGGTGCTGCTCCAGCGGGAAGGTAAAGGCGCTCCATGCAGTCATGCTGGCCACATGACCTTGGAGGTGTCTATGGATAACGCCGGCTCTTCGGCTTAGAAATGGAGATGAACATCACGCCCCAGAGTGGGACATGATGGGATTTAATATCAGGGGAAAACCTTTACCTTTAGTATATATATAAAAATGTAATATTCGTTTGTGGGATTAATATAACTCAAAAATCAATGGGTAATAGTATGATAGCTGGGTCCGGAAACTCCGAGCATTCGGGAGCGCTGTTTGCGCAAGAGCTAATGTAAGCCATGCCAGAGACTATAGAAGGAGTGTAAGAGTTCTTTAATGGTAAAACCCTTACCCTAACCCTGAACCATACCATAAGCCTAACCCAAACCCAAACCGTAAACCTCTCCCTAACCCTTACCCTAAACCGTACCTAACCCTAACCCTAACCCAAACCTTACCTAATCTAACCCCTTACCCTAACTGTAACCCAAACTGTAAACCTTACCCTAACCCTAAACCGGACCTAAGCCTAACCCCTTAGCCTAACCGTAACCCAAACCCAGACTGTAAACTTTGCCCTAACCCTTACCCTAAACCGTGCCTAAGCCTAACCCTAACCTCTTACCCTAACCGTAACCCAAACCGTACACTTTGCCATAACCCTTACCCTAACCCCTTACCCAAACCGTAACCCAAACTGTAAACTTTGCCCTAATCCTTACCCTGAACCGTTCCTAAACCTAACCCCTTATTCAAACCGTAAACCTTTCCCTAACCCTAAACCGTACCTAAGCCTAACCCCTTACGCTAACCGTAACCCAAACCATAAACCGAACTCTTACCCCAAACCTTACCTAATCTAACCCCTTACCCTAACTGTAACCCAAACTGTACACCTTGCCATAACCCTTACCCTAACCCCTTACCCAAACCGTAACCCAAACTGTAAACTTTGCCCTAACCCTTACCCTAAACCGTACCTAAGTCCTAACCCTTACCCTAAGTGTCCCCTCCTTTCTATCCTTCCTTCGCATATCTAACACTCGGAGCTTCCGGACCCAGCTCTCATGCTATCACCAACCACTGGACGAATGGACACCAAATTTAGTCACAATACACCTATCAGGCCAACGAGTGACCATCACTCATAAAAACACTGAAAAACTCAGCAGAACAGACTTAAAAGCCAAAAAACAAAAATTGCATTACAACGCATGCACAAAACCACACACACACACACACACACACACACATATATATATATATATATACACACATATACACATACAGTATACACAAATATATATACACACAAAACACATATATGCAGACTGGGTCACAGCAATGCATGGCAAGGGATGGCTAGTTATATAATAATAATAGGTAAACGTAAAGGTTTCCCCCTGACATTAAGTCCAGTCGTGTCCAACTCTGGAGGTTGGTGCTCATCTCCATTTCCAAGCGGAAGAGCCAGCATTGTCCATAGACACCTCCAAGGTCATGTTGCTGGCATGACTTGAATTTACTATGGAAATAAAAATGTGAATAATAGCAACTGGTTCTTAGTGGCAAACTGGACTTTATAGCCACCACTAATAAGCATTGGTATGTGAGAACAATCTGCCGGAGAATTCAGAACCTATATTAACACTTTTTTAATATTCTAAGACCCCACAGATTGTAATATGCACACTAATTTCAGTTCCACCACCCTCAAAATGATATCTAAGGTCCACTCATGATTCTAAGATGCACCCTGTTTTCAGATATGTCTTAGAATAAAAAAAAATACATTGGAAAATTCACCATTATAGTCATCTGTCTACTTCCTCTGCAGCAAACACTGGATTGAATTCTAAATGCCTTTCCCCCCCTCTGATAACGTGCGTCTGGGTACTTCAGCAAAACTGTGCATGTTGCCTTGTGACAGACTATAAATTTTATCAAGTTTGGGCTTTTTGCCACCAAAGCATGGATTCATTTGTCACACGGTGCCTACAGCCTTGTAATTTTTATAGAAAATGAGGTCTGAAACATCATCAAAAATACAGTTTGTGATCTATATTGGTATTAAGCCATTTGTTACTGGTAATTCATTTCAAATGATTTAAAAATCTTATATTCCATAGTATGATTTATTCTACGTAAGATGGAACATGAAGTGCCTTACAGGAACCCATCATGTTCTGGTCATTGTTACAAATTGTAGTTTAAACATTTGCCCCTGAAACAAATTATCTTCAGTGTCTAGAGTTAGACCTCTATGTTATGTCAGTTTCCAAGAGGACGGCTGAATTAATCTGTTGGAAACAAGAAAAAAATCAGTACCTAAAAGACCAGCAGATAGTGAAACTGGTAAAGTCCCATTGGTCTCAGTAGCTTATCACAGGAGTTCTACATTTATTTTTTCTTACTGGAATATTTCATTTCAAAATGTTTTTGATTTATATTAATGTTAAAAAAACTGTTTAATGCTCCCAATTTCAAAGAAAAATGCAAAAAAAAAAATGGGATGGAAAGGGGGGCTGGAAAAGTGGGAAAGACCCCAGTCTACAGTGGGAGGGATTTGGGAAATGCTGGGGAAATTGGAGTGGGAAAGAGGGGCAACTGGAAAAGATTGGGATGGGGGAAAAGAAGATTGTAAAATGAGCAAGACTGGGCTGCAAAAGCTGGGCTGGAAGGGTGGGAAGTGGAGAAGTGGGAAAGATTGTGGTGGGAAAGGGGGCTGGGAAAGTGGGAAAGACTGGGGTGAGAAAGAGGGTCTGGGAAAATGGGAAAGAGAGAGACAGGACCTTCTTGGTGGTGGCCCCTCAGCTGTGGAACAACAACAACAAAACTTTATTTATATACTGAGTCCCCAAGGGGACTCAAAGCGGTTTCCAAGTAACGTAATCAATACATACAAAGAAAACAGCATAAACATAAAATTAACAAGACAATATCAGCATTAAAAACCACAATAGCACATATATTTAAAATAATATATTTTAAATCGAATGTTTGCCATGTATACGCTGTGCTCCGCCCTGAGTCCTCTCTGGGGTGAGAAGGGGGGAATATAAATGTTTTAAATAAATAAATAATCCTGCCTAGGGATATTAGATCAGCCCTTTCCCTCCTGATCTTCCGAAAAAGTGTGAAAATTTGGCTCTTCGAGCAAGCGTTCAGAACCACAGCATGATTAGAGAACTGAAATTGGAAATGAACTTGGAAGGGCGATGAAGATGGAACGGCTGAGGATTTAAACAAGAAGACATCGTTTTTTATAATTTATTGCTTTTATAGTTTTTAAATGTATGATGATGTTTGCTGTTTTATCAATGTATGTATTTTTATATATGGCATTTAATTGTTGCCGACCTGTACGTCGCCCTGAGCCGCCTTCGGGCTGATACAGGCGGGATAGAAATGATGTAAATAAATAATAAATAAATAAAAGGGGCAAGACTGAAATGGTAAAGAGAGGCTGAAACCTGGAAAAGACTGGGATGGAAAGGGAGCTGGAAAAGTGGGAGAGGGGGGCTAAGGGTAGTAAGGACTGGGGTAGGAAGGGGGATATGAGAAAAGGAAGACTGGGAAAAGGTTTCTGGAAAAGTGGGGAAAAACGGAAGAGGGAAGAGAGGAAGTGAGAAGGACTGAGGAAGGAAAGAGTGCGGGCTCTCCTCCCCTCTTGGCGCAGCGAACCAGCTGGGTTGCTGTGCAAAGAAGTGAGGGTCCTGGTGGGAAGGCATAGGGCTGAAAGAAGAGCTTTTTTCAGCTCCATGCCTTCCTGCCAGAAACCTCTAATATAAGCCAAGTGGGAGCTTTTTTGGCCCTAAACAAGGCTGAAAAACTAGGCTTATACATATATATATGGTAAATTTAAATCAAATGAACATGCCCAGCCAGAATGCTCTTTCTAAGACCTTTGGAATTTTTCCACTCAAAAATGTTCTGGAAAACTCAAACAACTGTCAATAGATAATATTTTCCTTGGTTAATCTTTGAGTGCAATTCCGTTTGTGAATGGGATTTCATCATTTGCAGAAGATTTTGCAAGAAGGAGACGTTCTGGGATCTCTCTTCAGGCTCCATGTTCTGAAATGTTCTTCTTGCTACGTTGCCTTGGGGGAAAATCTGGGACACACATATCCATCCATCCATCCATCCATCCATCTATCTATTTGTGTATATATTTGTGTATATGTTTATATATGTGTGTTTGCATATATAGATAGATATAGATATATACACTAGGATGCGGAGACTAGGATGCGGAACAATGGCTTCAAACTACAAGAGAGGAGTCCTCGTGGACAACAAGTTAAATATGAGCCAACAATGTGATGTGGCGGCAAAAAAAGCCAATGGGATTTTGGCCTGCATTAATAGGAGCATAGTGTCTAGATCTAGGGAAGTCATGCTACCTCTCTATTCTGCTCTGGTTAGACCACACCTGGAATATTATGTCCAATTCTGGGCATCACAATTCAAGAGAGATATTGACAAGCTGGAATGTGTCCAGAGGAGGGCGACTAAAATGATCAAGGGTCCGGAGAACAAGCCCTATGAGGAGCGGCTTAAGGAGCTGGGCGTGTTTAGCCTGGAGAAGAGAAGGCTGAGAGGAGATATGATAGCCATGTATAAATATGTGAGAGGAAGCCACAGGGAGGAGGGAGCAAGTTTGTTTTCTGTTTCCTTGGAGACTAGGATGCAGTGGAACAATGGCTTCAAAATACAAGAAAGGAGATTCCATCTGAATATGAGGAAGCACTTCCTGACTGTGAGAGCCGTTCAGCAGTGGAACTCACTGCCCCAGAGTGTGGTGGAGGCTCCTTCTTTGGAAGCTTTTAAACAGGGGCTGGATGGCCATCTGTCAGGGGTGATTTGAATGCAATATTCCTGCTTCTTGGCAGGGGGTTGGACTGGATGGCCCATGAGGTCTCTTCCAACTCTTTGATTCTATGATTCTACACACATATACAAACACACAAAACATATATACAAACTGGGCCACAGCAACGCATGGCAGGGGACGGCTAGTATTACAATATAATCGTATCGTACAATATAGTAATATATAATACTGATATTATGCTATGCTAATAATATATATTGTATGTATATATATCTTGTAAGCCACTCTTAGTCCCCTTTGGGGTGAGAAGGGTGGCATATACATGCCGTAAATGAATGAATAAATAAATAAGCAGCTGGTGCGAATAAACCTACATTTTCCTTTGCTCATCTTGTTTTAAAGGTCTTGTTGCTTCGTCGGTGCCAGAGCACCCTGGTAATAGCTGAACATGCCAATGAGACTCTTACACCTATTACATTAAATGCCATCACCGCAGCCAAACGTATTGGAGGCGAAGTGTCTTGTTTAGTAGCTGGCGCCAATTGTGAAAAGGTAAGCACAAGTTATATGATTTCTCTATGCTAAGTAATGGGAGGAAGGGACTCGGGCGCAAGTTGTGGGCTCGGGCGATTGTGCCTGACCTCTATTGGAAGATAGAACTTGGTTTCATCTTCAGTTTGGGCACAAGCACCTCACTGGCATTCCCAAGCTCATGACAGATGTTCTGCTTTCATTGGTGGTACATCGATTTGTTTGGTAAACCATTCTGACAAAAAAGGAACGGGCAGTGCCATCACATTGCGCACTGCTGCATTTGACCTTTGTTGTAATTCCCAGCACATTATAACTGCAAAAGCTGTTTGGAAAACGTGAGCGTGGGTGCCTGTGCTTCCAAGAAACTAACAAACAAGATTCAGAATGAAAAGGGGATTCCTGACTGCATTAAAAATGGATAGTCAATTACGGTATATTGGCTCTGAAACATAACATTGAAAACACCAAAAACATTAAATATGAGAATGCAGTATGAATATTCAGTTTGGGCTGTAGTTGAATGTTAAGAGACTTGGGTGCAGATTTGACCCTGAGAAAATAACGCATTGAAGTCAGTCTGAATAGAGTTTGATTCCTTTGTTTAAGAGTCTTGATACAGTACTTACCTTGTCAGTGAATAAGTTGACCCAGGTTTTGGGGAAATAGATTTTTTTACTAACATTTCTAGACTTTGACATGAAAATAATAATAATAATAATAATAATAGAAACAACTGGAAAAGCTAACACAGTACAAGGATTTAAGGGTTGAACTGCAAAGACTCTGGCACAAGCCAGTCAAGGTGGTCCCAGTGGTGATGGGCACACAGGGTGCAGTGCCTAAAGACCTTGGCCTGCAGTTAAACACAATCAGCGATGACAAAATGACCATCCGTTAGCTGCAGAAGGCCACCTTACTGGGAATTGCATGCATTATTTGCCGATACATCACACAGTCCTAGACTCTTGGAAAGGGTCCGACGTGTGATCCAATACAACAGCTTGTCTGTTGTGGACTCATCTTGTTGTGTTTCAAATAATAATAATAATCTTGTTTGTTGTGTACTAATCTTGTTTTATATTAATATTACTATTATTTGATACAAAACAAGATGAGTCCACAGCAAACAAAATCACTACGCTGGCTTTTGTATTTGATCATACGTTGGACACTTCCAAGTGTCTAGGACTGTGTGATATATTGGCGGATAATGCGTGCAAATTCAAGGTTTTGTGGGGGGGTTTTGTATTTTTTAATTGTATAATACATAGAAGCATACTAACTTTGAAATTAATATTCAAAATACCAGTGTTTTCCCCAATCCTACCACCACCACAACTCCCCCCCCTCCCCTGCCCAGGAACAGTTACGTACTTTTTCTGTGTTTATTACAATTGTTCAGTCATGAAAATAGTCTTCTTTAACACAGTATATGTATCTTTCCCCTTTATTCTGTAAATGAGACTCTTCCATTTTGCTTCACATGTCCTTCTGCTTTGACCCGTCGTATAGTAACTTTTCCTTTCATTAATATAATCTTGGAGAAGGTAATCGGCTAGATATTTATTCCAAGTTTTTATATCCCATTTCTTGTGGCCCTTCCAGCCCAGGGCCACTGAGGCTTTGATTGCCTCTATTATATGTTTTATTATTTCCTCACTTCCTTTATATTCCCCTTTACTTTCCAATTTCTGGGTGAAAAATTGAGCCTTGTTCCATTCTATATTTATTCTTAATAGCTCCTCCATTTCCTTCCTGATTATTTCATGGAACTGTTGGATTTTTTCGCATTCCCACCACATGTGGGTGTGTGTTCCTATTTTTCCGCAATTGTGCCAACATAATTTGGGCATGTTTTCAATGTGCAAGTTCAAGTAAGGTGACTTTTGCAGCTGATATGGTAATTTTGTCAATGCTGATTGTTTTTAAATGCATGCCAAGGTCTTTAGGCACTGCACCCAGTGTGCCAATCACTATTATTATTATTATTATTATTATTATTATTATTATTATTATTTCTTACCTGCCTCTCCTTGAGGCTGTTTACAGAATAATTAAAACACATAAACATTGTAAAAATAGCACAAATACACATTTTCTTCTCCTGTGTGCTCTTTTGTGGGGCGGTTGGCAGTCCTGTTTCACTGTTTATTTTAAAAGGCATTATTCCAGCCTTCAGCATCTGGTCCCTGCAATAAAGCCTAGCCTGTGCAAATGTATTCCACAATGATGCGCTTCTTGTCGCAGGTGGCCCAGGAGCTGAGCAAAGTGCAAGGGGTGGCCAAAATTCTCCTGTCCCAGCATGACGCCTTCAAGGGACTTCTGGCTGGTGAGGCTTGTTGACAAAATACTATTTGCCATTTCAGACTCCCTGCAATCAGCTCTGTGTTAGAAAACTCTGACCGATCTGTCTTATTCCCCAGAGGAGCTGACACCATTGATCCTGGCAACTCAGAAGCAGTTCAATTACACCCACATCTGTGCCGGAGCCTCTGCCTTTGGGAAGGTAAGCAGACATCCAACCCACCCCCAGACCTCGTGTTCCAAGAATAGCGATCCCTAATAAACCAGTGCAAACATGTGACTCAGAGTTAATGCAGGATTTTGTGCAGCTTTACTTGTTTGAATGAAGTAGAAATTGGAAGGCTAAAAAAAGGGATCTCTGGAAAAAACTGGAGAATGATGACCAGGTTTTCCACATAGCGCTTAATGATTTTGGAATATTAGTATGATTTCAGTCAGGCCGCTCGTATATTTATTCTTCCGTTTTCTTTTCTGAAAACACTTTGATGCTACACTGATTGTGTAATTGCAACATACTTTATATAAAAAACAGATTTTAATGTTCCTAATGTAACAATGACGCTGTTATTTGACTATTGGATTACAACACTCAAATATTCCCAGATCAACTACTGAAATGGTAAAGTCACATTCTCTCAGTTTCGAAGAAAGGCAAACAAGTCAATTTATATGCCCCCAAGGAACTCTGTTTACTCTGGGAAATAGATTCTTCTATTTTTATATTTTAGGCTTATTTTATGTTTGTTATGTCTGATATAATAGGTTGTTAAAATTTTATTCTGATTTGCTAAGCTATTATTTGTTTTTATATGCTGTGGAGTTTAATTTTTGTTATTATGTGTCTATTAGTTATGTTCAGGCATTGAATGTTTACCTTTTTGTACCTGGAATCTGCCCAGAGTCCCTTTGGGGAGATAGGGCAGAATATAAATAAAGTTATTGTTATTATTATTATTATTATTATTATTATTATTATTTTACTGTCACAAAATCACAGTATGTCACAGCAAATGAGATATCTATCCCGGAACATACTACTACTGCTACTACTACTACTTCTTTTATTAAGTTTCCTATCTCAGAAATTTAATTGTAGATATTTGTTGATGATTTTAATAGTTTTAATCAATTGCTAGTCCCAGTTAGTGCAGACTCTTTCATAAAGCCAACATTTTGTAGGTTCTGTTGATATAATAATTATTACTAATTATTATTATTTAAAAATTTTAAATTTTAGTTTTAATTACATTTGGCCTACCCATAGATTTTAAAGTGCATTGTCCTATTGTTAATGCTTATGTTATTGTTTTACTGTCTTGTTTGATTTTAATTGCTTGTATTGTTGTTGTTATTGTTTGTATTGTTGTATTCCGGGCTCGGCCTCATGTAAGCCACACCGAGTCCCCTGGGGAGATGGTAGCGGGGTATAAATAAAGATTATTATTATTATTATTATTATTATTATTATTATATAACAGGTCTGTTCTATTTGGGACAAGATATTCCTTGGGTTGTTGTAGGTTTTTTCGGGCTGTATGGCCATGGTCTAGAGCAGTGGTTCTCAACCCTCATAATGCCGCGACCCCTTAATACAGTTCTTCATGTTGTGGTGACCCCCAACCATTAAATTATTTTCATTGCTACTTCATAATTGTAATTTTGCTACTGTTATGAATTGTTATGTAAATATCTGATATGCAGGATGATTCTCATTCACTGGACCAAATTTGAATACTGGTGGGGTTGGGTTGGGAGGATTGATTTTGTCATTTGGGAGTTGTAGTTCCTTGGATTTATAGTTCACCTACAATCAAAGAGCATTCTGAACTGCACCAAGGATGGAATCGAACCAAACTTCCCACACAGAACTCCCAGGACCAACAGAAAAAACTGGAAGGGTTTAGTGGGTATTGACCTTGAGTTTGGGAGTTGTAGTTCACCTACATCCAGAGAGTACTGTGGACTCAAACAATGGTAGATCTGGACCAAACTTGACACGAATACTCAATATGCCCAAATGTGAACACTGGTGGAGTTTGGGGAAAATAGACCTTGACATTTGGGAGTTGTAGTTGCTGGGATTTATAGTACACCTACAACCAAAGAACATTCTGAAGCCCACCAATGATAGAATTAGGCCAAACTTCCCACACAGAACTCCCATGACCAACAGAAAATACTGTCTGTGATGGTCTTTGGTGACCCCTCTGACACTCCCTCGCGACCCCTCCAGGGGTCCCGACCCTCAGGTTGAGAACCACTGGTCTAGAGGCATTCTCTCCTGAAGTTTCGCCTGCATCTATGGCAAGCATCCTCAGAGGTAGTGAGGTCTGTTAGAACTAGGAAATAGGGTTTATATATCTGTGGAATGACCAGGGTGAGACAAAGGACTCTTGTCTTCTGGAGCTAGGTGTGAATGTTTCAACTGACCACCTTGATTAGCATACAATGGGCTGACTGTGCCTGGAGCAAACTTTTGTTGAGAGGTAATTAGATGTTCCTGCCTGCTTCCTCTCTGTTGTTGTGCTGTTGCAATTTTAGAGTTTTTTAATACTGGTAGCCAGATTTTGTTCATTTTCATGGTTTCCTCCTTTCTGTTGAAATTGTCCACATGCTTGTGTATTTCAATGTCTTCTCTGTGTAGCCTGACATGGTGGTTGTGAGAGTGGTCCAGCATTTCTGTGTTCTCAAATAATATGCTGTGTCCAGGTTGGTTCATCGGGTGCTCTGCTATGGCTGATTTCTCTGGCTGAAGTATTAAGCCTGCTTAAAAGTCCATGTTTTTAGGCTGGGTTTTAATAAATAGACATGTTTTTTGGTGGTGCCTAAGTGGAAGCTAAAATTGCCGTCAATTAGGGAAGGGCACATGACAGTTGAGGTGCCATGGCTGGCAAGGTCCAATTCTCAAGCCTGTTCAAACAATAAGCAATAAAATGGGAATATCAATCAGTGAAGTTTTGCCTGAATTCCTAGCTCATTAGCGGTATATTATAATGTAATACAATATAATACTTGTAATAATAATACAATATTATGATTATAATTATATATTTATGTTACATGTAAATTACTAATAATATTACAATTTATTTATTTATTTGTTGTGTCAGAGCAACCAGTCCATTATATTACATTTCTAACAGAACAAAGCAAACAAACCGACAGATACAAAAGTTTGGTAGTTGGTTAAATGTCCTTTGACCAGTATCTGGCCACTTGGAGTGCTTCCGGTGTTGCTGCAAGAAGGTCCTCCATTGTGCATGCAGCAGGGCTCAGGTTGCATTGCAGCAGGTGGTCAGTGGTTTGCTCTTCTCCACACTCGCATGTCGAGGATTCCACTTTGTAGCCCCATTTCTCAAGGCTGGCTCTGCATCTCGTGGTGCCAGAGCGCAGTCTGTTCAGTGCCTTCCAAGTTGCCCAGTCTTCTGTGTGCCCAGGAGGGAGTCTCTCATTTGGTATCAGCCATTGGTTGAGGTGCTGGGTTTGAGCCTGCCACTTTTGGACTCTCGCTTGCTGAGGTGTTCCAGCAAGTATCTCTGTAGATCTTAGAAAACTATTTCTAGATTTAAGTCATTGACGTGCTGGCTGATACCCAAACAGGGGATGAGCTGGAGATGTCTCTGCCTTAGTCCTTTCACTATTGGCTGCTACTTCCCGGCGGATGGCAGGTGGTGCAATACCGGCTAAGCAGTGTATTTTCTCCATTGGTGTAGGGCGCAGACACCCCGTGATAATGCGGCACGTCTCATTCAGAGCTACATCCACTGTTTTAGTGTGGTGAGATGTGTTCCACACTGGGCATGCGTACTCAGCAGCAGAGTAGCACAGCGCAAGGGCAGATGTCTTCACTGTATCTGGTTGTGATCCCCAGGTTGTGCCAGTCAGCTTTTGTATGATATTGTTTCTGGCACCCACTTTTTGCTTAACGTTCAGGCAGTTCTTCTTGTAGGTAAGAGCCCGGTCCAAAGTGACTCCCAGGTATTTGGGTGCGCTGCAATGCTCCAGTGGGATTCCTTCCCAGGTGATCTTCAGAGCTCGGGATGCTTCTCTGTTCTTGAAGCAACCAGCATAATATTGCAATATAATGGTGTAGTGCAATATAGTAATCTATAATACTGATATTGTACTATGCTAATAATATATTGTATGAAAATATATCTTGTAAGCCGCTCTGAGTCCCCTTCGGGATGAGAAGGACGGCATATAAATGCCATAAATAAATATGTTACTAAATATATATGTTTTTCATGTTTAGAGTCTTCTTCCCAGAGTAGCGGCAAAGCTCGATGTGGCTCCCATCTCGGACATCATTGACATTAAATCTCCCGACACTTTTGTCAGGACAATTTATGCAGGTGAGTTTTAGCAGACTGGATGTCACTCTATAAAGAGATATTGAGGTTTGTCCGAGTGAATACAAACCTCACTTTGATAACAGGAATGGAGCAGCCAGAATGGCTCTTCTGACACAACTAATAGGATCATCCCTGGTACTATAGGATTGTAGTTCAAAGTCCCGAGAAACCAGATATAGCTTCTTAATTAGAAGAATCTGCTGACGTACTTCAAATGTATTATATTTCTGTTAATGTACTTTTGATAAGATTTTGCCAACTCTCAGGCATTGAGAGAGTTCTCTTTATTTAATATGGGTTACATTAGTTCTGATTGCAGCTATCCACAGGGTTATTTTTCTTAGTTAAGAGAGACATTGATACAATTATTTGTAATATTTAATTGACTTTCCCTAATTATTTTGCGGCCCTTGTTTGTCTAGCCCCCATTGTGCTCATCTGATCCTATAATTTAATTTGGACATGAAAGCATTAGCCTTTATGTCTTCTAAATTTGTTATGGCAGGATATTCTTTTTTTTTTTTTTTGTCGATGTAATCCTACCCTCAGAGATTGATGGCCTGCTTATAGGTTTTGATTTGCATTCTAATAATTCCCTTTCTGGAGTAATTTGTGCTCTATTACTGGCTTCCCCCATATCTTTCTATTCTCCGATTATGTCTTTGGAAGGCATTAGAAATGAGAGGAACTATATTGATCAAGAGTTTGGTATAAAATATTTAATCGAGATCTTAACCTCTTAGTTTTCTCACTTTATATTCAGGATTGGTTTGCAATCCTAAGCATACATATGGTACATTCTATCCGGAAGAAAAATATATGGAAATCTGGCGACATCAAGGTTTAGGATTGAGTGTTAATCTAAAGGCAAAATATCACTTACGACAAGCTTATCTATATAAATAAAAATGCAATGTTCATTTGTGATATTCACAGAACTCTAAAACGACTGGGGGAATTGACACCAAATTTGGACACAAGACACCTAACAACCCAATGTATGTCCTTCACTCAAAAAAAAAATGATTTTGTCATTTGGGAGTTGTAGTTGCTGGGATTTATAGTTCACCTACAATCAAAGAGCATTCTGAATCCCACCAACAATGGATTTGAACCAAACTTGGCACACACTTCTCCCATACCAAGAGAAAATACTGGAAGGGCTTGGTGTGCATTGACCTTGAGTTTTGGAGTTGTAGTTCACTTACATCCAGAGAGCACTGTGGACTCAAACAATGATGGATCTGGACCAAACTCTACACAAATACTCAATATGCCCAAATATGAACACTGGTGGAGTTTGGGGAAAATAGAATCTTGACATTTGGGAGTTGTAGTTGCTGGGATTTATAGTTCACCTACAATCACATAGCATTCTGAACCCCACCAATGATAGAATTGGGCCAAACCTCCCACACAGAACCCCCATGGGGGCCACAGCAACGCATGGCAGGGAACGGCTAGTCTAAAATAAACTCTTTAACTTCTTCATAAGAGAGGTACTGTATATACTCGAGTATAAGCCGACCTTAATATTTATTTATTTCCTATATTTATACCCCGCCCTTCTCACCTCCGAGGGGGGTGATACCAATAAAATTACATTAATTGAGGCATCCGTAGGTTCAATGTTTTTGAATATTTACATAAAACTATAATTTAAAGTAAGACTGCCCAACAATGATTGAATCTGGATTGTTGTAGGTTTTTTCAGGCTATATGGCCATGTTCTAGAGCAGGGGTCCTCAAACTTTTTAAACCGGGGGCCAGTTCACTGTCCCTCAGACCGTTGGAGAGCCGGACTATAGTTTTTTTTAAAAAAAAATCAATAAAAAATTCCTATGCACATTGCACATATCTTATTTTGCTGTGTGGAAGGGCCTTTAGAGGGGATTCTTTCTAGCCCTCTTTAGGCAGTAATTCCAGGAGCAGAGAATGGGAAATCTTCCTATTTCTAGTCTGAACAAAATCTGGCTATTAAAAAAAACTCTAGAATTATAACTGTAACTAGAGAACAACACTCAAACACAGGGGAACTCCAGACAAGAGACAGTCAGGGCCAGCTAATCACCTCTCAACAAAGGATTCTCCCTAAAAACTGTCAGGCTATGAAATGGTAATCAAGGTGGCCAATTGAAACATTCATACCTACCTCCAACAGACAAGAGTTCTTTCTCCCACCCTGGATCTTCCACAATTTTCCTAGTTAAAGTTTTCCTCTGACATGAAGTCCAGTCGTGTCTGACTTTGGGGTGTAGTGCTCATCTGCATTTCTAAGTCAAAGAGCCGGCATTGTCCATAGACACCTCCAAGGTCATGTGGCCGGCGTGACTGCATGGAGTGCCGGGGCAGCCTCCCTTGGCTGGCTCACGCTGCCCATCGGGCCCGAGTAGCAAGTAGGCCACGTTATTTAAGTAGGATACGCTGATGATAATGATGTTGGTTTTTATTGTTTTTATTGCTTCTATTGTGGTTTTATACTGTTTTAAGGTTTAATTTGTATTTTGTTGTTATGTGTAGTGACTTGTAAGCCACCTTGAGTTGCTGATAAGGCTGAGAAAGGCGGTATACAAGTATAGTAAATAACAAACAAACAAACAAATAAATAAACAATCCAGTAAAATAATAAATAACTTTGACTCGATTATAAGTCGAGGTGGGCTTTTTCTACCTAAAGAAAGGGCTGAAAAAATCAGCTTATACTCGAGTATATATGGCACATTATTCCAGAAAGTGGGTTGTGAGGATGTCTGCGATAGATGCAGGCGAAACATCAGGAGAGAATGCTTCTGGAACATGGCCATACAGCCTGGAAAACTCACAGCAACCCAGTGATTCTGGCCATGAAAGTCTTCAACAACCTAGAGATTACTTCAACATGCAGGTTGCAGTTGTGTTTTTCAATATTATTTTTGTGTGTGTTTGTTTTAGGCAATGCTCTGTGCACTGTGAAGTGTGAGGAAAAAATAAAAGTGTTCTCTGTGCGAGGCACTTCCTTTGAGGCTGCCCCAGTGAGTGGCGGCGGGGCTAGTGTAGAAAAAGGTGAGTGTTTTTGCTTCTTTTGTTGGAAGTTACACAGTTGGGCATTCACATATGTGAACCCTGGGCTTGACTTTTGTATGTTTGATTAATGGTGTTTTCTCTCGGAAATTTTATGTTTGCCAACGTGGTTTGTTGATAAACGTTCACTGGGGAAGGGTGGGATATAAATTAAAATAATAAGCGAAAGATTAAACTACAGAACTACAGTGTCGATGATTATGTTTGGATTGAAGACTTTGCCTTTGGTGAGAGTTTAATCTTCAAGGCAGTGGCTGTAGGAGGACTTTGCACCTTCGAGAAGCTTATGGAGTGTTTTTGTGTTTTTGATCGAAACAGTATCTGCTCCTTTGCCGGTTGGTCAGTCTGAATGGATTGAACAAAAACTGACGAAAAGCGACCGTCCAGAACTGACCAGTGCAAAGGTGGTTGTATCGGGTGGTAAGTGGTGGCTAATTGACTCAAATTGTGGTAAACATTTCCAGGAAAGCAGAACCTTCTTCTGAAATGGAAAAAAAAAGTTGTCTCATAGTTTAGAAAAGCAGGGAAATGGGGGAACCAGCTTATCAAATTGACAGGGTGAGGAAAATAACTGAAGACGATCGGATTTGTCTTTTGTCAGTTTGCAGTGCCCTTCCCTCCCTCCAGAACCATTAAGTAACTTTGACAAAGTCAGCCTAAACAAACAGTTTAAAAATCTCGCAGTTTCCCTTCCCTGTTAGTTTTAAAATCCTGTGGTTTCCCTTCCCTGGTGGCGAGCTGCCATGCAGAGGGATGAGGTGGGCGTGGCTAAGCACAGCTCTCCTTGAAGGCCACGCCCCCAGCGACCTTCAAGGAGAGCTGTGCCTAGCCACGCTGTTGCAACCCAGAGCAGGAAACGAGACCCTAAGACAACAATCCATCACACTTGACTGTGGGAAAAAACAATCCCTTTTTATTGATGCAAAATGGTTACAAAATAGAGGAAAATGCAAAGTCAAAAAGCCACAGTAAAAATCAGCAATCAGGAATATCCATGAACTAAATCAAAAACCAAAAGCAACACTGTAAAATCCTGGAACCTGTTAGCAATCCACTAACCGTCCTTGGAGCACTAGAAGCCTCTTGGGATGAAGGCCACGGGAAAAGGGAGATCTGCCTAGTCTAAAACGATGCCTGATCTAAAGAGTCAACCCGGCGAGAGGCACTTAAAGCCGAGGAATCTGTTTCGTGACACGCCTCCAGGCTTTGAAGCCCTTGTTTCTTTTTCTTTCAATCTGGCTGACCTTCGCAAACTCTGCGATTCACCCCTGTTTTGCCAAATCTGTCCTCTTCTATCCTCATTAAGGATCCCAGGTGTTAGCTTCTCTGGAGAGCTATTACTGCTTGGCTCTGAAACATTCTCATGAGAATGTGTACTTTCACTTTCCAAGCCTGCAGGAGTTTCTTCTACACTGACCTCAGAATCAACATTTTCATTAGCATCAGGAAGTACATTTTCAGTAGCCTCAGGAAATACAATCAGAGAATCAGGTTCAGATTCACACCCAGGCTGAACCCCAACACACACCCACCTCGTCCCTCTGCATGGCAGCTCGCCGCCAGGGAAGGGAAACTGCGAGATTTTAAGCAGTTTTAAAATCCCGCAGTTTCCCTTCCCTGGCGGCGATGAAGAGGGACAAGGTGGGCCTGGCTAAGTGACAGCTCTTCCTGAAGGCCACTGGGGGCGTGGCCTTCAGGAAGAGCTGTTCTTAGCCACGCCCACCTCGTCCCTCTTTAACGCCGTGTTCACCGCCAGCCGGGGAAGGGAAACCACGAGATTTTAAAACTAATAGGGAAGGGAAATTGCGAGATTTTAAAACGTGGCCTTCAAGAATGGAAACCGCGAGGCTTTGCCAAAGTTGCTTAATTGTTCTAAAAATCAAAATAACTGTGGGAGACATCCAAAAATAATTCCAAACAATGGGTAAGTGATTTAAATTCAGAATTACTCCTCCCACTATTTCTGCATGGCTCGAAATTGATTCAAAAGGCAATTTTTTCCCGAAATAACGATTTAAGAAGATAACGACTGTACCTACAGATTCGTAGTAAACAGTATATAAATCCAGTGTTGCAATGCTAAGAAATGTTGGTATTTTATTTTTTTAAGGCCGAGGCTTGAAGAGTGGAGACAACTTTAAACTGCTTTATGACCTGGCAGATCAGCTGCATGCTGCAGGTAAAAAGTGCTGGTTTGTTTTTTATTGTTGGTTCACCGAATATGTTTAATAGAGCAACTCATGGTGTTGATGCCAGTTAGAATTACTTCAAAAGTGACTTTTGCTGTAAAAATTATTAAAATGCATAATAAAAATATATATATTTAAAAAGAATTACTGTCTCTCCCAAGGAAGTGTAAACTTAACTTTTGGTTTATTGGGAATGCTGTGACATTCCCCCTGTGGCCAAAACCAAGCGCAGCCTCCAAAAGATGCCGAATGAGGAGAAAAAGCCTAAATATACCTCTGTCTGTGGTCTGTCTTGTCATTGTATCATCGGCATTGAATGCTTGCCGAATATGTGTTCTGTGATCTGACAGTTAATCCACCATATGTTAAAACATTAACAAATAATATTATATGGCTTATATTATATATTAATGTTTTAATTAAAAACGTGGATGTTCCAGTGTGCTTTTGATTAAGTGGGTCACTTCAAGTAAAGACAACTTTCCTGTCTTTACCTGAAGTTCCGCACTTTACACTTGTATATGATCTACCTCAACATGTGTCATGACAGTATTTCCTGCCCAGTTTACTGTATTGTAATTGCATATTCTATTTTTTAATTATATATTTTATATTACATGTAATATTACTAATAATATTACAATATAAAAGTATAGTACAATATAGTAATATAGAATACTGATATTGTACTATGCTAATAACATAATATATTGTATGTGTACGTTTCTGTTTTTGTTTTTAATGTTGATACGGTCAGTAGACTAATCAATAAACTTTGCTTTGCTTGTATGTATATATATATATATATCTTGTAAGCTGCTCTGAGTCCCCTTCGGGGTGAGAAGGGCAGCATAGAAATGTCATAAATAAATAAATATTGTTGCACTTTCCTGCACTCCAGTAAAAGTGTATTGCACTCATTGAATCCGTACCTCAGCTATGTTTCTTTCAGCCATATTGTTTTTATATTTCTTTTGATGGTGTTGTATTTTTTATCTGATGTTTTAATTGGTTAAAATATTTTACTTGTGTGTTTTAATTGTAATTTTGGGCTTGTCCCTTGTAAGCCACCCCGAGTCCCCAGGGGAGATGGTTGGCGGGGTATAAAAATAAATTATTATTATTATTATTATTATTATTATTATTATTATTATTATCTGCCCAGAGTCCCCTTTGGGGTGAGAAGGGTAGAATATGAGTACTGCTAATAAATGAATAAATAAATAATATATTGCACTCAGTGAGCCTGTCCCTCAGCTATGTTCTTTTCCCCAGCCATATTGTTTTGATGTTGTTTACAATTGTGATTGTTTTTATATCTTAACTGATATTTTTAGTTGGTTGTGTTTTATTTGTAATTTTTGGGCTTGCCCCACTCTGCGGCCCCCCGACTCTGGAACTCATTGCCCGGTGAGATTAGGAAGGCCCCCACCTTAGAAACTTTCAAGGGGGATCTCAAAACCTGGCCTTTTCAATGCGCTTTTGGAGAGTAGCCATACTATCATACAAAGTTGCTACCCCTCAACGTTTTTTTTTCCTGTTGTCCTCAGAGTATGTTTGCCCACCTGTATGAAGGTCTGTTTTTACGACCCCGTTCCTTTATGAGTTTCTCCCTCACAAACAATCTGCTCCATCTCTGTCTCATCCTGATTTTAGTATTTTTAGTGTTTTAGTTTTTTATCTTGCACATGCAGCCCGCTCATTGTTATTATATTGTGTATGATTTTGTTTTTTCGGTTTTTGTACTTATACGCTGTATATATTTTACTGCGTTGTTATTGTGTTTTGGTTTTATTTTATTGTAATATGCTGTTGGGCTTGGCCTCATGTAAGCCGCCCCGAGTCCCCATTGGGGAGATGGTGGCGGGGTATTAAATAAAGATTATTATTATTATTATTATTATTATTATTATTATTATTATTAAGCCGCCCCATGGTTGTCGGGGTATAAAAATAAAATTATTGTAATTTAACAAAATGGCATAGTAGTTTTACATATGAGAGCGAGTAAAGAGAGGGGCCATGAAGGTAGTTCCATCTTGCCTCCAGTGTCATCAGTTGGGAGCCCAAACACCAACCGCTACTCTGAAATCAGAGTGAAGAGAGGGGCCAGGAAAGCAGTTCCATCTTGTCTCCTGCACTGTGCTTATAATGTAATGTAATATATTGTATGTACATATAATATTGATAATATTATAATGTAATACAATATATTACTACTACTAATAAAATGATATTATAATTATATATTTTATATTAAATGATATATTACTAATAATATTACAGTATAATGTTATAGTATAATGTAATATATAATATTAATATTGTGCTATGATAATTATATAATATATTGTATTTACTATTTACTTGTAAGCCGCTCTGAGTCCCCTTCGGGGTGAGAAGGGCAGCATATAAATGTCATTAATAAATAAAAATAAATAAATTCATTTGACACTGACATTTCATGAGGCTTTCCACCTTTCTTTCCACTCCTGTGGAAAGCAACCAAATGACATTGGAACCTAATGAGATATGCTTTGTGGTGGAAGCTCCTTCCTTGGAAACTTTTAAACAGAGGCTGGATGGCCATCGGTGAGGGGTGCTTTGATTGTGCTTTGCCTGCATGGCAGGTGGTTGGACTAGATGGCCCATTTGGTCTTTTCCAACTTTGTTATTCTCTGAGATTCAGCCAAAATCCATTCCCCCATTGCCATTTGCGAGAATAAAGGGACATTTGGGGTGGCGGATTAACTGTTCATTTCTGTTGTTCTTGAAATACTTTTTTGTTTGGCTCTAGTTGGTGCTTCTCGTGCAGCCGTGGATGCAGGTTTTGTCCCCAATGACATGCAAGTTGGACAGACAGGCAAAATCGTAGCTCCGGTAAGCATACAAGTGGCATTGATCAAAGATACGGTTGATTCTTCCCCAGGTTTTAAAGCTGCCAACTTACCTGTCCGGATGCATCTCTCTCTATGAACCAACTAGGAGCTTAAGATCGTCTGGGGAGGCCCTGCTCTCAATCCCGCCTCCTTCGCAGATGTGATTGGCGGGAACGTGAGACAGGGCCTTCTCAGTGGTGGCCCCTCGGCTATGGAATGCCCTCCCTAGGGATATCAGATCAGCCCCCTTCCTCCTAATATTTCGAAAGAGATTTAAAACCTGGCTGTTTAACCAAGCATTTGCAAATGTAGTGTAATAGGCTAATTTAGATCCATGGAACGATTGGACGATGCGACTGGAAAATGATTTTAATAATGAGATGCTGAGGACTTGTGTTTTTATTATTTTTATTGTTTCTACTGTTTTATATGGCTTATATTATATGCTAATGTTTTTAATTATATGTTATGTTGTTGGGGGCATTGATTGCCAACTGTAAAACACCTTGAGTCGTCTTTGGACTGAGAAAGGCGGTATATAAATATGTAAATCTATATAAATAAAAATGTAATGTTTGTTTGTGGGATTAACAGAACTCAAAAACCACTGGACGAATTGACACGAAATTTGGACACAAGACACCTAACAGTCCAACAAGTGTCCATCACCCCTAAAAAAAAAAATACACACAGACACACACAACCCCAGTGGAAGAGACTTAAAAATCCAAAAAATACACCACATATACATATACAAATACACTCATATACATATACACATACACACATTCATACACACACATATATATGTGCACAAACACACACAAATATACACATATACACACATACATATACATATGCACATATATACATATACATATACACACATGTATATATATGCACAAACACACACAAATACACATATATATACATATGCATGCACACATATATACATATACACAAGCACACACAAATATACATATATACACACATATACATATACACATGCACACATACATATATACATGCACATACACACAAATATTCACACAAATATTCATATAGATAGGCACACACATATACACAATATGCATGTACACATAAACACACAAATATATACACACATTCATACACACACACACATATATATGCACAAACACACACAAATACACTTATACACACATACGTATACATATACACATGCACACACAGATATACATATATATATATACACACACACACATATAAACACACAAATATATACACACAGTGTTTATTTAAATTTTTTTAATTTATTACATCTGGCCCGGCCATAAGGTTTTAAATTCTCTGTGTTATTGTTTATATGTAAGTGATATTAATTGTACTGTTTTATTTGCTTGCTGTTTTGTGTCTCGAGGCCTTTTGGAGCTGACAGATGGTAATTTTGTCAGTACAGATTGTTTTTAAGTACAGACCAAAGTCTTTAGGCACTGCACCCGCTGTGCCAATCACCGTTATTATTGTTGTTGTTGTTGTTGTTGTTATATTTCCTACCTGCCTCTCCTTGAGGCTTGAGGCCTTTTGCAGCTGACAGATGATAATTTTGTCAGTACCAATTGTTTTCAAGTGCAGGCCAAGGTCTTTAGGCATTGCACTTAGTGTGCCAATCACCACTGAGACCACATTTGTTGGTTTGTGCCTGAGTTTTAATGATTAAATTATTATTATTATTATTATTATTATTATTATTATTATTATTATTATTGCAATGTTTACTGCAGATATACTTCTGCAACCCAACAGTAAACATCTGTTTTTCCCAGCCTTCCTTCACCATCATCTTCCCAATGCCAATTCACATCTTTCTTTTGAATATTTTAAATGATGCCCTTCAGAAGTTTGAATCTCAGTTCTCATAATGCCTGATGACTGGCTATTCTGTTAGGAGTTACAAGAATTGTAGCCAGAGATACTTGTAGAGTGGCAGGTTCCATATCCTTCTGGATTGTTGTAGGTTTTTCAGGCTATGTGGCTATGTTCTAGAAGCATTCTCTCCTGACGTTTCACCTGCATCTATGGCAAGCATCCTCAGAGGTTGTGAGGATGCTTGCCATAGATGCAGGCAAAACGTCAGGAGATAATGCTTCTAGAACATGGCCAAATAGCCCAAAAACCTACAACAACCCAGTGATTCCAGCCATGAAATTCTTCAACAAACCATATCCTTCTGTTTGTACCAAATACACCTGATCATATTCATGCTTTGTCTTGAAAAGATTAATTTTTTTTCATTGACTGCTTCCTGCTGGAAAATCAACTGGAATCTGCATTATATTTGATGGTGATTTTTACTTTTTGTAGGTGTTTTGGCACAAACATGGAAATCAGTTGACTAGAATAGATCTCTTTTTCCTAGTGAAACCAGAACTGAACTCTAGATTAGGCCACTATCTCCAATTGAATAAATACACAACGAAGCAAATAAGGAGTGAGTAGACTATAAGAGAGGGTCCTCTTTGCCTCTCTTTCAGATGGTGGAGGGGGGTGTTTGTTACTGATGCCTTCTTGGCGTATTTATAGACTAATAAACTGGCCCAGTTGGGAATTTGGCTGGCTCTTGAGTGGTGGCTGCATTTGAGGTGGGATGGATGGAGTTTTGATTGATGATGCAGATTATCTGACTTCATCATTGGGAAGCAGCTGAAGTAATAGTCTAGACTAGGAGTGGGCAATGGGGGGATTTTTTGCCCCTCTGTTAGTTTGCACTGCTGTATTTTCACCATTTCACTATTTTATTCTTTCACTGTGATTTTATGGGTTTCTGTGTGAGGTGGTATGTGCGTCTGAATTAGTTAGTGACACTTTGGTGAGCGTTTTCACCTATGGAAAAGCTGAGTTGAGGAACACGTGACCCTCCAAAAGTGCTTTTGTCATCCTCACCCCTGAGTCCCGGAGAAAGATCACACTGTTACCCATGTTGTTTCAACTCTGGTACTGTTTCTGTTGATCTGAAGACAGATTTTTTTTTGCTTTTGGCTGTTAATGAGGAAGTTTGCAGACATTTTGAATCAAAAATATCAATAACGGGGCACTTTTTCTCTAGAGGCGGATCCAGACAGGCCTTTATAATACTTTTAATATATGTGTATTATGGCAACAATTTTTATGTTTATATTTTTTTTGTTAATCTTATGGTTATGTTGTTTTTTACTTTGTATGTTTTGTGATGTTACCTGGGAACCACTCTGAGTCCCCTCGGGGAGATGGAGCGGTATATAAATAAAGATTATTATTATTATTATTATTATTATTATTATTATTATTTATCCCAGGAGAATCCACTTTCTAGGGTGGGTGCCCAGATGCTCTCATGGGACTGGCCATTTGAGAGTTGTAGTTTGTGAGTTGTAGTTGCTGGGATTTATAGTTCACCTACAAACCAAGAGCATTCTGAACTCCATCAATGATGGACTGGTCCATGAGAACATTTGGAGGCCCTCTCCTCTCCCCCAAAGCCCCCAGGCCCCTTAGAAAAGTAAAATAAACTTACCTGGTCTCTAGTACACTCTTGGAGCAGCTCTCCCGGCACGTAGTAGTGACGTGTCAGGAGAGGTGGGGGATCACTCCACTCCCACTCTCCCGGCACATCATTTCTATGCACCAGGAGAACTGCTACGAGAGTGCACTGGAGACCACGTAAGTTTATTTTACTTTTCTAGGGGGTCTGAGTGCTTTGGGGGAGGGGGAGGGTATTCCCACTGTTTTCCGGACTAATTTAGACCAGAAAACTGTGGGAATGGTGTCTGGACTGCAGTCCAGACACAGGAAATAGTGGATTTATCCCATGCCTTCCAAGAAGGTGTGGAATAAATCCACTATGGTTTGTAGCAGATTAATTCGAGACTGTCCAGAATGTTGTCTGGACAGCCCCTTCTTTAGTGTGGAAATTACCACAATAAAGGTACTGTTGGGATGAGCCCTTGGACAGCGGTTCCCAACCTTTTTTTGACTGGCGACTACTTTTCCAGGAACCACTTGACCAGGGGCCACTCTCCAACATTAGTACCAAAAGGGTTATGAATCAGTTTTTGGTCAACTTTAGATTTGGTTGGGTTATTTGGGGTGCTGAATCAGAATATTGGATTGGATAGACCCCATCAGCTCTAGTTTCTTATACAGAACATATGCATCCAAGTGTCACCATCTACTCACCCACAGAAAACCATATTTAATAAGCCTCAACAGTATAAGAGGGTTTTGCGAGACCAGTCCCTCTAGTTGCAACGGTGTAGTAGTGGTGAGGCCACAGACCATATTTAGTTCTTGCGGACCACTGGTGGTCCACGGACCACAACTTGGGAACCACTGCTCTAGAAGAAATGAACATCAAATTTGCCTGTAGATTAGATTTTTTTTTTTAAGAGAATGGACTACTAAAGGCAGGCTAAATGGCACTGTAAACAAGAACAGTGTTCAAGTGATAGTTCATCTGGTGAATCTTTTTGCATTGTGTTGGGCAGGAAATATAGGTACAGAGTTGTGTTTTCAGTTAATAGCCTCATAATGTCGGGGCCAGTGTAAACCCATAGTGGCCCAGGGTCTATACTAGGGCAGTGTTTCTCAACCTTCCTAATGCCGTGACCTCTTAATACTGTTCCTCATACTGTGTTGACCCCCCAAGCCATAACATTATTTTTGTTACTACTTTCATAACTATAAATTTGCTACTGTTATGAATCATAATGTAAAAATATCTGATATGCAAGATGTATTTTCATTCACTGGACCAAATTTAGCACAAATACCCAATATGCCCACATTTGAATACTGGTGAGGTTTTGGTGGGAGATTGATTTTGTCATTTGAGAGTTGTAGTTGCTGGGATTTATAGTTCACCTACAAACCAAGAGCATTCTGAACTCCATCAATGATGGAATTGAACCAAACTTGGCACACAGAACTCCCATGACCAACAGAAAATACTGGAAGAGTTTGGTGGACATTGATATAGAGTTTTGG